GAGATACAAATGGAGCAGGAGTTAATTAACTGAATACGAGAAGCTGCTTGATAAGAGTGGATAATAAGGAGATTACACAGGCACTAGCTTGTTTGTAGTTAACCATTCAAATGTTTGGTTTCTTTATAAACACGAATATTCGAGGTTAGGAAAACAGGTTGACATTTCGTCAACAAATATTGTTGAATTTACCGTTTATCCTTGTCTATCTTATTGTCAGTCTGTATAATTCCATAGTTACCGGAGTTTTAAATAATTACGAAGCAACAGGTATTTGCGCAATGTTAATTAGACAGATTACCTTGAAAAACATTGCTGCCGTATTTCTGATATAGTTTTTTGCAAATTTCTCAGTTGTTAATAACAATTAATTTATTTTACTATTTTTTCTGTACTCCTATAACAGCGCCAGACATCACCTCCAGAGGAATGACGCCAATTTTGACTCACCCTGTATATCAAAATCATTTAGAGGTTCCCAGGAAAAGCCTCCTATTATTAGAATTGCGGTTTTTAATTCTTTGCGAAAAGTGAACGGTTTGTGTGTGAAGCGATTTTTTATGTCTCAGTCTTTAATATATTCCACTGACAACTTTTCTTTCATACTAACGGATATTTGTCTATCTAACACAACAATCTAAAGAAACACAAGAAAACATGTTGGTTTTAAATACAGCAATTGTTTACCCAGTTTTTTTCTATTTCTAAGCTATCATCGACCTACTTTTAAATTTCCTTCAACTGTTTCGAGGTCTTCATCTAATGATCGTTATATATTCAACGATTTCCAGGTAAAAAACGGAGCTCGATGCGATTCTGGCAAACATGGAAAAGCAATTGGACAGATTTTTATTAAACAAATAAGGTATATTTATCTCTCCGAAATGCTGAGAATATAATGCGTGTAAAGTGCATACACGTTGGCATCTCAGTGTAAAGGGTTTAATATCTTAAATCATAAAAAAAAATCGTTATGGATATTTTGACCACATGAAAGTAGCCATATGCACTTACATGCCACCCTTATAACATGTTCACTTCTTGTATTTCTTCAAATCTTCAAATCTAGCAATTATTAATTCGTTTTATAGTTATCCACCTAAATGCTTTACAACCGGTCTGTCGATAAAACAAAATGAATTGTACAATATATCGTTTTCGAAGATATCCAGCGAAAACCTGAAATTTCATTACTATTTTTAATAAAACTCGTGCTTTGTGCTCGTAAAGCGCATAAGAACCCTTGATTTATACTTTTGCTCTTTCCAACGATGTAATTTCGTATTTGTTGCAAACTATACAAAGTTTAATGGGGAGCAGAAGTTTTCCTTCGAGGCATTACACGTGCTGTAATCAATTCGAGTGAAATATTAGTCGGGTGATCGAGAGCTTCGAATTTATTTAAAAAAGCATTTATTAAAATAAATAATTTATAGCAACAAATAAATTTTATGTCGGAACCAAATAATCCGAATCAAAACGAAATATGTGATATTTTATGGCGATTTTATTTTAATAATCTGCCCATACTACTGACTTGATTATTAATTAGCGGTGGGCTCTTGTGTGTTAATTTTGTGACACATAACATAACGAAGTATGATTCCACAATAAGGCTTCATATGCAACTAATTCGACTAGACTTGCACAAATTTTCTATTTGTTCAAGTAAATTAGAATATAACAGTTCAGGTTTCATTTGTAATTTCCACATTAATTATATTGCAAATTCATAACTTCCTGCTAATTTTCATTGGCCAATTTTGACAACTCAAAATTGAATTATCATGTTTTGTTAATACGTTATTCGTCATGAAATTAAGTGAAAAGTATCTAAAGCAAATAATGTATTTTTAAATAATTACAAACGCAATTGATACTAGTTAAAGTATGAAAATCAACAAATCGTGGGAGCAAAATTGAAGGAAATAATGAACAAAAAAGTTGCAAATATTTAAAACATTAAGAGCAAATGAAAGGAAACATGACAGTTTAAAAAAATCAATATAAACAATAATTTTGATAATAAAATGACAAATATAAAAAATTTGCTCAGTGACAATAAAATTGTAATTTACTTAAAAGGTGTATGTAAAAAAGTATGAAAATCCCATATCATTTATCATTTAATATAGCTGATGCACCTTAAAGCGACCGTAATGCAACCAAATTCCGCAGGTAATATTATATCGCTTTGCGTTTACAGTAAATGCATCGATTCGCAAGCGAACAATGCCGGTAGATTTGAATAATACCATACCTAATTTAATACCAAATAATTTAATATAAATTTATTATAGGTTTGGCACTATTGCGATCTGAACGGAGGCCAAGCATCGTTTCTCTGCCCAAATGGAACCATCTTCAGTCAAGTCGCTTTAACCTGCGATTGGTGGTACAATGTTAAGTGCGCTTCCACTGCCCAACTTTACGTGCTAAATGAGCGATTGTACAAATACATTATTCCACTTTCACCCAAGTTTCCCGAAGATTATAGCGGACCTCTAGTCGACAAGTAAGTGAACATTCAGCGCTTTAACTTGTAAACTTCAGTAAATTTTACGCAATGTTTAGGTACTTGGCCATGAAGTTCCAAGAAATGGAAGAAAAGCTTAGAAAGCAGAAAAAAGGCAAAGGAAATGCTGATGCAAAAGTATCGGAAGAAACGGCTGAAAGTGATGACACAGAAGATGATGAAGATGATGATGACGATGAAGACAGTGATTCCTCAAAGGAAGAATCCCAAGCTGTTGAAGAGACTGAAACCACAACTGCAACAAGCCAAACTCCAGATGTAGCAACGATTATTAGCAGCAACACTCGGAAATAAACTTCAGAACTATTCCTGCATCAAATTGAATGGTTCAAGTTCAAATGAACATTCCAAACAATTCGCCTGTACAAAACAGTGACAATCAATACATTTTATTATTTGTCTTCAATTTTCCCTGACCAGAAACGATTAAAAGTTTGCGTTACATTCAACTGTACATAATTAATCGTCCGATTGTGTTTAAATGTTTACGAACAGTTGGACACATTGAGTGCAGTTATAGATGCTCAACTAGACGCAACCTTGTTTCAATAAATTATTTTAATTCAAATAAAGTGACATTTAAATAGCACTCCAAATGATTACAATTTGAACAAATTGAATATAATGAACTTACTTTATATATGGATACAAGTTTTTCGCATTTAAAACGATGATATTTGTATGAATTTTTGTTCTAAGAGTCTCAAGGAAATTGTCCCGTTAAAATGTCTACATATTATTTACTTTAAAAGCTTAATTGGGCTTTATCGCAAAGTTTATCAATAATATCATTTTTTTACAACAATATAAAGACTAACGATTTTTGGGTCTCGAATTCATCTCACGGTAAACCAGCTCCACTAAGGAAGTAAAACTACAGAACAACGAAAAACTAATTCGAATTAAAAATCAAAATTTAATTTCCAAGAAAATCGAATTTCAAAAGATTATCAGTTTAAAGTTAAATTTAAAAATCCGTTTCGTTCAAGGCAGAATCCACGACTAAAAGTAATCACAATCATTGTAAATGCTTCTAATGCTAATGAAAGGAAAATTAAACAGTGTTTAAATATGTACTATTAAATTTGGGGAAAATATATCAAATTTTAACAATGACGCTCTGTATATATGAATTCAAGTTGATAAGTATTTTTATTTATTTATTTTTGTATACATAAGCTGTTAAAAAATTTGTTACTATACAGTAATTATTGTAACATGTACTTAATTGTCAATAGAATTGTTCTTAAAAAGAAGGAGTTCCATAATCCATATTCCTTTAACCTATTAAATTTGATACTTACAGTAATCTAGTGCTAATTTACATAAACTGTTGCTCATTTTAAGACAACATAAATTTCGCAAAGCACAGAGATGCGAAAGTTGTATTATTAATGGTATAAACTATTGGAAATGAATTATAAAGCAGACATTGTAGCAAAAACAAAAACATTTTTTTAAATAACCACTTTGCTAAACAATTCAAAACACTATTTTGAACAAAACTGTAAATGAAAATAAAATGTATTAGAAATAACTACGTTCCATCGAAAACTGCTAATAGTCCGTCTGTGTTAAAGCCGCCAATTGAATCGAAAACTAAATCATATAATTTTTTATCGTTATTTAAAGTGAATTACTGGCTACTTTGCTTCAGAACGATTTTCATTCACGACACGTAATTTATGAAGTTTGGTGTAGAATAGAGCTTTACGTTCCCCGATTACCTAGCAACACATTGAAAATACGAAACGAGAACGTGCTCATTTTTACTCGACATAAAACAAAAAATTGATCGACCCATATTTAATTTTTTCTTTTTGGAAAATTTATTATAGATGTGATAGTCCATATAGTAGTTGATATAATGGTAAACTCTAAAAAACCGATGAAACTTTTAAAAAAGCAGTTGAATTCAACGAACCAATCAATGAGTAAAATCCCCTAAACAACCACTTGTAGGTATACAAAGTCTATAGACAGGTCATAACTGTTGTTTTTTTTGCCTCCCCGATTTTCGTAACTTATCTAAATGTCCTCTCTTATTATCGTAAACAATTATTTTAGATACACTGTCCTGGGGTAACACAACCTATCTTGCAATATCCGCTAGTTTAGCACCTTCTTTCTTTTGTCTTTTGAAATTGAAATGCATCTTGAAATGGCGAAATTAGCATAGACTATGTTCAAAAAACTATAAAACACGCCTCGCATTATTATTTTAAACTTTAATTTCATTAAAACCCCCTTATCCAAACAAATTATTTAAAAGTTGATTTACATTTGACACGTTACTATTTATAAAATAAAAACAAATGTAAAAATATGTTCACTTGTTTCATTCAACAATTGTAGTTGTCATGGTTAAGCAACGCCTACTTTGTTGTCTGAAAGCGACTTGCATTTATTGACAATGTCATACACGATCAATTATAATATCGGGATTGTCATATAATTTTCAAAAAGTTGCACTATTGATAGTGTATATTTTCTTTTAGTAGCCCACCCTGTTAAAAATTCTTCTTTGTTCAATTGCAAAATAAATTCTAGAACAAAAAATTTTACACCGGTTTAGAATGCAAAAATTTAATTTTCCCTCAACACGGTCTGGGAGACATTCAGTCCTTTCCAGGTGACCGTTTCAAAGCTGCCAATCTCCAAATTAACAAAGTATGAGTTCGTGCGTAAACGCAATACAAATTGAAACACCACCGAACTAATTCGAACGTCTTGTGCAATTTCCGCACATTCCAATAATCCAATATACAATCCGACAGGTAAACTACACCCAAAATTAAGGGTCAGGCTCCACCTTCCTGATAGAGCGCGTGAGAGGAAGGGAAATCAACCCCTCCCCACCACAAATAACATTGGATTAATGCAAAACCTAGAAAAGGACGCGTGAGAGCGATTGCAATTGCAACAATGCAACCTTATTGCACATGCGTTCCTAACGCCGATGACACAGCTTCAAGAATGCTTCACTTGCAAAATTATTATTTTAGTTTAGTTTAGTTCGTGTTCAACTTTCGAACTGTGCGGGGTTGATTCAGTTTTAGAGCAAAAATTGCGAACTCCATGCTCACCAAAGCAATCGCTTCAGGTTGCTGCTCTATCGGTTTAGAGCTCGCTCACGCGAACTATAAACGAATGTGTCGCGCGTGTTACTGTTATGAGCAATCCAGTGCTAGACTAGTTTGAAAATCACAGACAAATTGAGCAAAAACCACTTGAACTGACACTAAGACTGTATCCGGGCGGTAGAACTGTGTCAACTTAGTCATTTATCACATACTTTTGACAGCTAAACCGGTTGCGCGGGTGGCAGCAGTGAATCGGACCAAACACGTGCCAAGAGCGGTTAGCAACAGGTGGTGACTTGTTTAGGACCAAGTTCAAGGTGACGTTATGCATCGATTGCCACCCCATTTTGAGGTTAAGGTTTGATGCCATTGAGCTAGGGGTGGATTCCTGCAAGACGTCACGCTGCTATACTGAAACTTGACCCACTGAGCCAGCAGAAGTAAATTTGCGTTTCATTTTGCATGCCTTTTTTCCATTTATATTGAAGGTTGTTTTCTCTAAATGCTGCGCTGTATTCGAATTTTTACAAGTCTTCATAATTTGTTCTTGTATGACGCACACGCGTTTTTCGTTTAATTTTTGTTAGCGTTTTATAGACTTTTTAAGGCAACAGCACGCATAAAATTACTCTTAAGCGATTACTATAATATTTATACATTCTCAATTCTTTTCACCTAGAGAATTTTTACATTTTATATTTAACTTGGGGCTAATATAATTCTTAATAAACTGTTAAAAATCGATTAAAGTTCTCTGAAAACGTATTCTTTTGTTGTAAAAGTTGATTTTTCAGATGATGGTGAATGATTTTTCAATTTAAAATTCGCACAAATTTTGCGTAACAACCCGTAGTCTAATGTCCACTTTATGAATACAAAATATCAGATTTGCCGTTAATTTTCAAAAAATATTCAGCATTTGTGTTTTTATTACGCTTATTTAATAGCGTATAATTTGCAGTCAAAACGTCAAGCGCAAGATCATCACCAATCATTCGCCATTAAGCCAACAAAAGCATTTCTTGCTAATATTTAATGGTCTTTAAGACCAATAGGTCTACTATAATCCGGTATATTTTTTAATTATTTGGCGCAGCGAGTTATGTAGACTCTGAAATTTAATATACATTAAGAAAGTGAAAGAAAATATGAAAAACTAAACAACAAACATTTCCTTTTCATAAAATAACACAAAATTCACCTTCTTAAATATGGATACATAAGCGCAAAGCGACATACTGTAGTGTTAACTGCATTTTTCAGAAAAACAACACCGTGATAATTTCCAAGGTGAAAGCAACGATGAAAATGCATGTCTGTAACTTTTTCATAATTATGTTCAATAATCCCCTAACTAAAAATTCAAGCGGATTTCATCCGAGTAAAACACGTAAATACGTGTATATTAACATTTACATAGAACTAGTTGCCATGTCGAAGCATACGAAGAAGCGAAGAAAAGAAGATCGAGAAAGATTCAAGACCCAGCACCGGAAAGCCAAGAAAATGAAAATACAGCTTCCGTTTCATATATTAAGAAATAAAAGGTAGTTACCGTCTAAGGTCAATCGAGTTTTCTTAAAATCCACAATTTTCAACATTTTCATTGCATTAAAATATAATCAAATTTCGATTGGGTATAAGAGAAGACATATAACACAATGAAGAAGTTCCATCAGAAACGAGGTAAGAGAAGTCTACAGTTACTTATGCCACTATAAATATTTCTTTACAAATATATATGTAATAAAAAGGCATTTTTTGAAAATAAACCATTTGTGAGTAAGTATACCTACATAGCGAGCTAGAAAGAAATCGGGAACATGTATGTTAAATGGGTCAGTGTTGTCCAGCTAAGCGTTTAATAAACAATAAAATCTACCATAATCTTGAGTTTTCCTTCAATGATGATCTGAATGAAGGAAACATGTTAATTAAAACTGCCAAGACTTGACCATAGAAGAAATTCTTAAAAATAGAACTAAAATTTGAAAAACTAGGTGAATATCTAGTTCACGTTTATATAAATGTTTATACACCTTGACGATAAGGAATTTCTTACTAAAGAAAAATATATATTTTGTGGATCTGCGGACTCCCAACTTTCCACCAATGTGAAAATATTTGGATTGGGAAAACAAACTGCTATTTTATTTCCCCAATCGGACACCGAATCTTAGCGGGTAAGAAAGTTAGTTCACGTTACAATGTATAAAATAATCACTTCAGATCTGAGTATCTGACCGTAAAAAATTATAAACTTAAAGATTACAAATTATTATTATATTCTTTTCTTTCCTGAGTTTCAGTAAACGTGTAAAATAAAAATTGTACGTCCGTTTGTTTCGTTTATTTCATAACGTTTCGTCGAGACAAGAGATGATGACGCATCAGATTTAAAATTAATACAAACTACAAACGCCAATTTACAATTAAAACATATGCTCTACAAAAAGTATAATTGATAAAGCGTTAAAACATTAATTAGTTCTTGCGGACAAAAAACCTTTTTTCTGGGAGAGCAAACCATTTGAAAAACTTATCTCATAATTGCAAAATATTAGATTCTTTTAGGTCTTTGCTGTCTTGAAACCTCAAAATAGTTTTAATTTTTCACAAGGGCCACTAGTTAAGACAGTAAAGACCTAAAAGAATCTAATATTTCCCAATTATGAGGTAAGTTTTTTAAATGTTTTCCTCTCCCAAAAAAAAAGTTTTGTTTCCTCAAAAACTAATGAATGTTTTAACGCTTTATAAATTATACTTTTTGTACAACATGTATTTTAATTGTAAATTGGTGTTTGTAGTTTGTATGAATTTTAAATCTGATGATGGCGCTGTTGTCTCGCCGAAACGTTATGAAATAAACAATTTAAAACATTTTTTGAAGCAAACTCAAATTTGCTCGTCTGATAAAAATATACGCAAATTATTGGAAGGTAATTTTTACTGTTGTAAAAATCAGAAAAGCTGCTAAGCTTCGTAAAGTTAATAAAGGCAAATATAGTGTTTGTTCCACTCTACAAAGATACAAATCTTTTCAATTAACAAACATTAATTTTTTTTGCGTTCCGAAATCTGTTATTTGCAAGAAACACTGCACTTTTTTGTAAACCAAGTTAA